GAAATAATTATGTACCAGACTCAAGCTAGCGAACAATAAACCATCGAACAATAAGGTGTATCAAGCTAGCGAACAATAAGAAGTACGCGCCAAACTGATCATGCCTAAAAACCGAAGACTTGCATTAACATGACAAGCACATGAAAATCTGATGACAATCATTCCCAGCAGGAAGACAAAATGCAATATATTTTCATAAGACATAATTGATTATTTATTTATTCATTCATTTATTTTTTCTTGACAGCCGGGCATCTCTTATACATAATCTACTCCTCTCCCTTTTTTATTACCTTTGATTAAAAACGGTTTGTCTTTATAATAATGAATTCATTAATTAAAAAAAAGACTAAACTTAACTAATAATAAAGATATTAATATAAAATTCACATGCTTGTATGCTTTTGAAAAGAAAGAAAAATTTCGTTTTTGGAACGTCAAGTACATAATTTTTCATTCATAATTATAAGTTGAAGTTAAAGCTAATGGATATCGACAGTTTTCGGTTTGTTACGATTAAAAACTTTTTCCTATTAAAATTTAATGTCCAGCCTTCGTTTTATGTGACAGTGACCCACAAGTAGCACGAGATATGAAATAATAGGTAGATTTAACCTAATTTTACCCAAAAAATATTCAAATCCAAGATCATTACAGCTTTTCAAAAAAAAAAAATGCAATTCCCTTGCACAGATTCGAAATAACAAGAAAAGAGTGGATTAACAAACATACGAAGTATTTCAATTTAACATTGGAACGATAATCGGGAAGCTTTTGTCCACACTTAGTACAATTGATATTCAATTGCCTAAGGTTGTCTGGACTAAAAGACCCAGATGGATAAAATTACGGAACGTTCACACCTGAGGCCCAAAGTTGGGGTATGGCGACCCTACCCCTTCCCGACTTTAATTCATAAAAAAGTCCCTACGGCAAAGCTTTTGTCTTAACTAGGTACAATGATAGGCAATTACCTAAGGTTGCCAAGACTAAAAGACCCAGGTGGGTAAGGTTACAGAACTTCCACAACTGAGGCCCAAAGTTGGTGTATGGCGAACCTACCCCCTCCCGACTTTAATTCATAAAAAAGTCCATATGGCAAAGCTTTTGTCCACACTAGGTACAATTGATAAACAATTGCCTAAGGTTGCCTGGACTTAAAGATTGAGGTGGGTAAAGTTACGGAACGTCTATAACTGAGGCCCAAAGCTTAGGTATGGCGACCCTACCCCCTCCCGACTTTAATTCATAAAACAATCTCTACGGCAAAGATTTTGTCCACACTAGGTACAATTGATAGGCAATTGCCTAACGTTGTCTGGACTAAAAGACCCAGATAGATAAAATTACGGAACGTCCACAACTGATGCCCAAAGTTGGGGTATGGCAACCCTACCCCTTCCCGACCTTAATTCATAAAAAAGTCCCTACGGCAAAGCTTTTGTCTTAACTATGGACTTTTTTATAAATTAATTAATTGTTGGTTGGTTGCTTAACGTCCAGTGGCAAATATTTCATGCATATTCAGGACGAGAACAAGTTAACAATAAATACAATAGGTAGGTTCTGTAATAGATTAAAGGAATAAGGTCGGAGAAATTTAGACTGCCACGGGAAATGAGGATATATTGGATAGGGACAGAAATTTAGCCTTACAACAGGTCACCTACGGACCCCTCAAAGAGTTGTTGGAAGGGTTCTTGTAGTAGTCATCCCTGTTAGACTAGTCGATTTTCCCCCCATAGGCATAACGTTAAAGCCGCCATCTTGGATGGAGGAGGGAATTTTCGATATGAGTCAAGTGGTCATTTTTATTTTTTTTTAATTAGTAACATAATTAAGAAATTTTTGTGTGTTCTTAATCAATAATTAGTTTTGACAATTAATAATATAATTAAGTAGATTAATTTAATTCCTAATTAATATTTAGTTTTGACAATGGTCCGAGTCTGATTAATTACTCCTCTTGTAGAGCTGTTAGAATTTTAACAGGGGTTTGACCAAATCAATTAACCCAGACAAAACGTTAATTGTTGATGATCAGTCTGGTCAAGAGTAGAAAGAGACGTTTCAAACAACTGTTTATGGTAAATATGAGTAAAGACAATTTGATTTTACAAAACAGAAAAGTCTATACGATACATTACAAATTTTATTGAAAATAGATTACAAAAGTTTGAATATACACAAGACTTGTCATTTATACACACAAGTTCTAATATCCGTACGGTATTGTTTTGTAATCATCAACTATAACTCGTTTGTCAAACACTATTCTATAGTCTTTACTTTCTGTTTTTGTTATAATTCGGGCATTCTTCTGATCTCTGGAAATCTTGTTCTTATCTACAACTGTAATAACATTATTATCACTAGCATTTGTCACCATGTCACGCACTGTATCAAAATTAATGCTAAGTGCATTTTTATAGTTGAGGGTTATACCACGTACTTTACATACAGTTTGAATTCCTGCAGAATCTGGTTTTTCTAATTTGTAAGCATAGTTTTTAGGACCACCGGTTACAAAATGTGTAATGTTATTAGACGGTACTTCATCTGTAAGGTCTCCTAGATAGTCTCCCAGTGGTGGTTCCCATTCACCCTCTTTTACAGTGAATACAAATGAATCGGTATCTGCGTACATGACACGTTGTCCTAACTTATCTAAATAACTGTACAGCTTAAGTCTAGCTTGAGCTGTAGTATATGCAGCTAATACTACATTGGTTCTGCCAGAAGTTTCCAAGAATTCTTCCTTGTTTTTCCACCTCATTTCTACCATTTCATCCGTAACAAAGTTGACACCGGTAACGACTTGTTGGTCACTGGTCAACATATCAAAATATATGGATGGGTCTGACACATACTCAACTTGAGGTAAATTTGTCCGTTGCCCAAATTTACCCCAGAAGCTGTTCAACATAAGTTTAGCAAGGGAACGGAGGCCCGGATTCTTTTCTATTTTGGCATAGTCCAGTAAGATTCCTTCTTTTTCAAAATAATCTTGAATATATTTCTGTCTATGCTTTTCAGTAATACACCAACTTGGCCATCCACTGGCTTCTTGTTTCATTTTCAAAAATGTATTGATGTATTCCGTGAAAATTCCTCCTGATTTTGATTTCGGATCGTATTGCTCAACATCATTGAAATGCCATACTTCATATACTGTGTCCACTACATATCCCTTTTGTAATGCCATCTTTAACTCATCTGTTACCCAAGTTCCAATGAATGATCTTTCTTCTGGATTGTGATGACATGTGGTTTGTTGTTTCAACTCTGTGCAAGTTCTGCACAAGGAGAACATCAGTTTGTTGTTAATCTTAACGGGTAACACAGGAATGTGAAGTTCACGGGGAGGACATACTTTGCATTTGATTAATCCTTCATATGTTTCTAAATCATCAAAATTTTCTGTAAAAATTTTTGGATGACCTAATACGGCTTTACCAGTTTTATTGATGTAAGGGTAAAGTGAGGTTACATCATAGTATTTGATATATTCACCATCTGAAGATTCGTGGTAAAGTTGAAATGCTTCCGTTCTACCTCCTGCAAAAGCATCTCTTGGTTCCAATGGAGTGACAATATCGATGGAGTCAATGTACTTTTTGGTGTCGATATTTTCTCGTATTTCCCTATCAAACTCACATTCCCATATACAACTGTATGTATAACCTTGCTTTTCAATGTGGATTTTCTTCTCCATGGTTTGGTGATAAAGATCTGCCATTGATAACTTATTCACAGTGTTAATGGTGTGCTGTGTGTAACATTTTGGACATCCATGCCAAAAGCAGCCATGATATTCCATAACAACCTTTTCACCATCACCGGTTTCATAGTATCCATCGACCTTGTATTGATCAATTGTTTTTTCTCCACCGTTCCGTGCGTGCTGAATATGTACCCCTTTAGACTGTGATACGTATTTAATCCATTGTATGGCTTTAACAGAATGTTTCTCTTCAGGACGGTATCCTTGCGCTGGTATTATACCAATAGTATCTGGACGCAGGAATTATGTGCGAAACACTAAATTACACGCAGAAGCTATGGTAATGCAGTTTGCAAACGGATCAATGCCATTATCATCCGTTGATGATGAAGTCATAGACATAAACAATTCCCGAAACTTTAAACAACATTGTCTAAGTATATCTGTAGGACTCAAATCTATGGCGGGTTCCAAATCTATGGCGGATTCCTAATCTATGGTAAATATGACGTAATGCCGTCTCAAACCTATGGCAGTTTTTGTTTTCTCCAAATCTATGGCAGATTTTGAAATTGCCTATTTTTCCGGGAAAAAGAGTTACATATAACGTCACAATCAAATAACGCCATATGACGTCGTCGCCGCCGCCGAATTTGAAGATGGCGGAACCCATGAACACCATTCCAGATGAAGGTTTTGTATTAGCAAAGGAAAAGAAGAAACCAGTTTCAAAGGACCCTAATCCAGAAGCGTTTTGGAGGGACTATGCAAAGGTAGTGTCCATTTGCAAATTAAAAGCAGAAAATCCAAAATGGGGATCCGCAAAAATAATCAAGTTTTGCAATGAACAGTTGAACGATAGAATGGTTAGAAAATATTTGGAAAATTATTTTTATGATTTGACTTCGAATCATTTGTATAAAAAAAGTGTTGACCTAGCTACTCCTCATAGGAAATGTCTTTCAAAGGAGGATTTAATTAATCTAGTAAAAAAGAATCATGCATTAGATCACAGAAAATCTCACAGCATTTATGAATCTATTCGAAGATTTGTTTTCCCAGTCGTAAGGGAAAACGTGAAGCTTTTATTTGATCTTTACGTGGACTGTGAACAATGTAAAAGTGCTATATCTCTACCAAAAACAGACGCCCAATACCAGCAACTTATCCAAATTCAAGATGGCAAATTGACCTAAAAAAGATGCCACCTCATAAAGGATATCAGTACATATGTAATATCGTTGATTGTTTTTCAAGATTTGCATTTGACCAAGCATGTAAAACTAAAAGTGCTACTGAAATAAGCAAAGTTGTACTCAGTTACATTTATCTATATGGAGCTCCACGTATTCTACAGTCTGACAATGGAAAAGAATTCCGGAACTCGCATCTTAAAGAAGTTGTAATACAATTTGACACAGTCCAAATGCATGGTAGACCATACCACCCACAAAGTCAGGGCAGAGTGGAACGTTTTAATCGCACACTGACTGAGTATTTTAGAATTAAAATGTCAGAACGTTCAGACTGGTCCGATCAACTTCCTGAATTTTATTACGCATATAACAACAGGCTAAACAAGGCCACACGTCCAAAGACTCCATATCAGCTATTTTTTAGTCGACCAAATTTTGCTGTGCCGCTTGATGATCAGGTATTTACTTTACTTCGTTAATTTTATTTAAATTATTATTTCGGAAATTAAAAATTGAGTCTTTGTGTTATAAAAAAATCTTAGTAATTAGGTCATTTATAGTAGTATTCTTACTTTATGTTACAGCTATTCTGTGTCAATAAGTCGTCTAGGACCGTAGGATGTGTCAATAAGCTGGCTACGGCAGTATGCTGTGTCAATTAGCCGTCTAGATCCGTAGGCTATGTCAATGTGCCGTCTAGGGCCGTAGGCTGTCAATGTGCCGTTTAGGGCTGTTGGCTGTGTCAATGTGCATTCAAGTACCATAGAATGTGTCATGTGCACTATAGCGCCTTAGTTTGCAAATGTACTATTTTTAGCCGTAGGCTGTGTCAATGTTATGTCTCTTACCGTGACAATGTGCCGTCTAGTGACTTAAGTTGTAAGAATATGCAGTCTAGTCTGTGTAAATAAGCTATCCTGAGACGTGTCTTAAGAAAAATTTGATTAGGGTTATTATTCATATCAGTATTTGTTTTTGAACTTGCGGTTGAGATAGATTTTTACATTATAGATTTATTTAAAAATTATAACTTGCCGAATGTCAGGAAATAAAGACAAACCAACAAAACAACGGTTTTTTTCACACCAAAGAAATTGAAAATTATTTTTTATTATAAAAAGAGCATCTTCTTTTCAACATACCTTTGTATTTATAGGTACCTTATGCTTCTCTTACTAAAGAAGAACGAGACTTTTTAGAGCACGCCGAATTAGATGTTGATGAAAATGAGTCAGAGGAAGAACTCCCAGAAGTATCTGTTGATGTGCTACACTCATCCTTAACTGAGGCTTCAGGTGGAAACCAATTCGCCAGTACAAATCATAATGAAGAGGAACTCACTTTACATGGTAAGATTTAAACACATATGCATGAACTTTTTACTTAAAGCTATCGTCCTGAACATGCATGAAATATTTGCCACTGGACGTTAAGCAACCAACAAACAATCAATCATTATTTAAAACTAATAAAAGTACACAAATTTAAATTATAAATTTAATTATAAAAATGAATACAATTACTTGTTTTACATGTGATAAAAATAAATGCAAATTTAACATATGCTTAGTTATATTTAACTGTAAATTAATTAATTAGTTTTTGTTTTTATTTTGCAGACCATGGCGTAAATGAAGAACATGGCAATTTACCTCCAGATTGTACCCAGGAAAATGATTTTGTAGTGCCCGAACCATCATTTTCACAAACTGTTATTTTGCAAGTAAGTATGTTAAGCCTTGTGCATTACTTTGTTTATAATTTTCAACACACGCCAAAAAAAGAAGAAAGAAAACCAACACATTAGATCTTAAGAGTACGTACTTGTTCCTAACCAATACATAAATATCTTTTTTTTTAAATAGAAAAACCTATTGTTGTATGAGTTTCCGTATAACCTACAGATTAGACGAATATTTTTACATGTGTATTAATGTATTATTTGTTCAGTGAAATATTAAGTGATAAATTGTGCACAAAATAACACGAAATATTCTGTTTATTTTTTTGTAGGAAAATGTTAGTCCATACTACAAACAAATGTATCAGAGAAAGTTTTATAATGAGCAAAATAAAGAAAATGTACTAGTTCATCCACAGGTATGTGATTTTGTTGGGATTTGTCTTTAAATGTCCTATATTTTAAACTTTGTGCCTTAGTAGTTTGTTGCTCGTTATGTAAGCGTAATATGTAATAATTTTGTTTACATACTGTTGTATAGAATAGGTTTGTAACTGTATGATGTACTTTTTAAAATATTGTCCTATATAACATAAAATTTGATGCATTTGATAGAAATCTTTAAAAGTGTTGCGACTGCACGTATACATGTACATGTATAAGACTTTTAATAATGCTGAACCATTCAAATGCAAAATGTAAAAGTTGAATTTTAGTTTGCTTTGTACGGTTATTACTAGTATATCAACTTTATTTTAAAACTGCTACACTTTGCATATATTTTTTTAACCTAAAAATAAGTAAACCGCGTTGGTTTTCCCGTTTGATGGTTTTACACTAGTCATTTTTGGGGCCCTTTATAGCTTGCTGTTCGGTGTGAAAAACCGTACTGTAACCTATAATAGTTTAATTTTACAAATTGTGACTTGGATGGAGAGTTGCCTCATTGGCACTCATACCACATCTTCGTATATCTATCTAGATGTACTATTATTAATTTAGATTTGATATCACTCAGCCAACATATACTTTTGTTTATACTTATAGACTATTTTTTTTTGTAGAATGTAAATCAAAAACAGTTACCGGTATTTAAACAAATTCACCGGGAAACAATTTCAGCTTTTCCACTAGAGCAGTTTTCCGATGGTTTGAGGGAAGACATTACCTACTATCCGGAAGAGGGACAAAATGTGATGTACAGACCGAATCCTGCGATGAACAAAGGCACCGCAGTTTTCAGTACAGGATATTTCAGGAAAGGGGTCATAGACTCAATTTCAGCGTCTACTGCTGGAAAAGTGTATAAAGTGACAGATCAAATTACAGGATACAAATTTGATTTAAATCGTCATCAAATTAAAAAGATGTGAGCAGGAGAAAATAAATAGCATGTGAAGAGTCAAAGTGTTTATTTTTTTTACAAACAGAAACTGCTTTCTTGTTGTTTAATGACTTACTATTTGGTTAATGTGTCGGTTAAACATGACCATGCACAGAGTAGAAAATGCTTATGTTTACGGGACACATCATTTCAAGATCATGAAGTCTTTATTAAGCTTTTTAAATTGATCATTTATAAATTTGGTTACTGTCATGATGTGGTTTATAATTTATACAATATACAAAAGAAGTTGTGGTATGACATGTATGATTGCTATGAGACAAATCACCACAAGAGACCAAACACAGAAATTAACAACTATAGGTCACCGTTCCGCCTTCAACAAAGAGCAATGCCCATACTGCATAGTCAGCTATAACATGTTTATTTCACTAGTGTTTATACACACTCTTACGTTGTCATTTATCTCCATTTGTTTTAGACAAGTCATTGGTCGTATATACTGCATTGTTTTCCATTTGCACGACATTTGCCATAGATTTTAAATCAACAAAAATCCGCCATAGATTTGGAAATTACAAAATTTGCCATAGATTTGGGTTGTAAAAAATCTGCCATAGATTTGGGATGGCATGACGTCATAATTAGAAAATTTAAAAAACTTGCCATAGATTAGGAGTGTAAATTTTTTGCCATAGATTTGGGATGGCATGACGTCATATTTACCATAGATTAGGAATCCGCCATAGATTTGGAACCCACCATAGATTTGAGTCCTACATATCTACATCTGATCGACAGTATTTTAGAAGTTCTACAGAGCAATTAAAAAGGTTGTTCACGTTAGCCTGATGCCATTCAAGAAATACTTCTCTATCCCCTGATCTCATGGCGTCTGGGTTATAAAACATGACATCTGGAAGATGATTTAACACGACGTTTTGGTTTTCTTTCCTGTTATAAAGATGGGGAAAATACCCTTTCTGTAGTTCCTTAATTCCGAACATTTTAGTAATTTTGAGAGTGCCATAGGTAAAAAATTAATGGAGCCAATCATTCTTATATTGCATGAAGGAACTTCAATGGACATGTTTTTAGCTCCGCTTGGAACGATCTTTGGAAGAACACCATTCTGGTACAGGAATTGAAGAATAGGAAAAGAGTCGTATCCTTTGAAATTATGACAGAGGACTGTGGCTCCGTTATTGTTTCCAGAAAAAAGCCATTGACAAAATTCATTTGTTGTATTTATTCCACTAAATACAAGCTCATTCTTTCCACATATCTTGCATTCACTTTGTTGTGTAACTTCCTGTTTTAAACATTCTACACATACTTTATGAACAACGCATAGATTTGGTTTGTGTTCATAAGCTCCACATTTAGTTGTGCCGCAGTTTTTACATCCAGAGTTGTCTCCTCCTGGTTGATAGCCATCAGGACATTCTAACAAATCATCTTGGGTGCATTCAAAATCAAAGAATATGTAAACTTGGCGATTAGAGTCACTTTCGTCTACAGGAAATGACATATCTTCGTTGTCCTGATTTCTATTTCCAGTACCTTTATGTTTTTGCTGTCTGTCGCCTACAACTGGAAGCATAAAGCAGAGATGTCCAACTTCAAAGAAATCTTTGCAAGTCTTACAGTAACTTTCTCCACATTTATGTGTTTTCTTGTGCATGTTCTTGTTTATAGTTTGACTACAAACTTTGCACCGATAGTATGAATTGCAGGTAGAGTGGCCTTTGCTGGTTGTCCGTATGTGAAGGTTATAACAATGTTCTCCCTTGAAATGACGATTACAATCGTTACAGTATATCCAATCTTCTTCTGTTTTCTCGTGTATTTTATGGCATGATGTACAAATGTTATTGCAACGATGTTCTTCTTTATGTTGATATCCCTTTTGGCATGTATCACAATAATAACTTCGACTTAAGAAGGCAGGCATACTAGTAATAACGTCGTAATGACCATCATGGAAATACAAGTAGATCTTTTTTTCTGCCTCTGGTCCATGGTAGATGATTCCGTTAAAATGTTCCTTTGATACAATATAAATTTGATAATCTGTCATAACTGTCTGGAACCTCTTGATTTCTTCAATTCCACATTTATGAAGGGGAACTTTGGCAAGTGTGTGCAGCTCGATGGCAAGTTTCTTTTGCAATGCATAACCTCTCCGTATACTGTCCCATTTTTCATGTTTTTCCTGAGATGCTTTTGCAGTTATCAATGCTCTGGCGCAACATATATCGTCTTTGTCTGAAATGCTGATAATGCACTGCTTTGTCTTCAAAAAACGCTCTAAGTCAACATATTTACTTAGCTTTTTCGTTCCCCCTGTTGGAAGCACGACGTGTGTCATTTCAATTTCAAGCGTGTCATCCAACACAAATTGTTCATATGACTGCAAAACTCTCTCTATCTCATGCAGTAATGTTTCAACTGAAAGCTGAGAGACTTTCATGAAAGGTATGGTGATAGGAAAATCCAACTCTGGGCATTGGACTGACAATCGTATGAGGTCTGTTGACTGCATGAACTCTGTAATATTTCTAATTATAGATGCAAATAACAAGCGTAATGTCTTCAATATTTTAGGTAGATCATGAACTTCTAATTCTTTGAACGATACCTTGTAACGAGTAGTCGATGTATTAAATTTATGCATATGCTGTGTTGACAAAACACGTAGGTCGTAGAATTGTTCAGGGTCGTCTTTACTGGTTACTAGACGTTTTGAACTTTGGTTAAGGTCATCCTCAGCTGGTCTTTTCAAACCTCTACCAATCTGATTATGATTTTCCTCTCTGTGGCGTTGTAAATTGTCATGCCTCGAAAACAGTATACCACAGTCGTTACATTGAAATAAAGATTCATCCTGGTGTCTCAATATATGACGATCTAGATTATCTTTTCGTCCAAATGTCTTCTGGCAAATTGTACAAGGATATATATCTTTATGTCCAAATTGTCGACGATGATTGATCAACATTCCAAGTTTAGAAAATGAAGCTCCACATTGTTGACATTCGTATTTTCTTGCCATCTTTCCTTCTTTATAGTTCTAGTACAAAGGAATTGATTCTGAAAAAATTAAAGATTTAAATAGTCTAACTTTACCCATAGTTCCATGATAGTCATAAATATTGAAATATTGTGAAGATACTCATTTAACGATTGATTGTCAAAGAGAGTAGATGGATGATAAAACGTGTCCCATGTGTAAACTACAATTTTCTAGAAAAGACGTTATGATGCGACATCATAGAAACAAACATGGAATCACTCAACCATATCCGCAGGGCAGTCATGCGTATCCGCCGCCGCCGCCGCCGCCGCCGCGTGATGAGGATACGCCACCGCCGCAAAAGGGAGAATCACCACCGCCGCCGCCGCCGCCGCCGCCGCAGAAGGAAGAAACAGAACACTTTGTGTTTAAACATCCATTCACGATGACGGTGAGCGGACCTACATCATGTGGCAAAACATTTTTTGTGAAAAAACTTCTTCAGAATTCAAGATTTATTCAGCCCACTATTCAGAGAATAATATGGCTATACAGACGTTGGCAACCACTCTACGACGAAATACAAAAGACTGTTCAACCGTATGTTGAATTCGTACAAGGAATACCAGTTGATTTAGAGAAGGATAGCTATCTGGATTCAAGTTTAAGAAATATGATAGTTTTGGACGATTTAATGTCAACATCAGCAAAAGATCCTAGAATCACTGACTTGTTTACGGAAGGAAGCCATCATAGGAATCTATCAGTTGTAGTATTAAATCAAAATCTTTACTTCAGTAAAGATCCTACACAGAGAAGAAATTGTCATTACTTGGTATTATTTAATAACCCTATCGATAAACAACTGATAATGACTTTAGGTAGACAAATGTATCCTGGAAAAGGACCATACTTTTTAGAAAAATTTGAAGAATCAACTAGTAAACCATTTGGATATCTTCTTCTGGATTTAAAACCATCGACACCAGAATCAAATCGACTGCTTGCTAACGTTTTACAACAACAACCATCAAAGAGCAATGAATTCATTCCTACTTCAAAGGATATAAAAACAGACCAGCATTCAGCCGTTCCTTATTCTTATGAAGACGATCCTAGTGAACAGACGTATGAAAATATGCCCTCCTGTGACGATTGCGGAGTAGTGCTTGACAGCATGCACGATTTACAAAGACATATCAAACATTGGTGTCCAGAAAACGAATCTTTAAAGAGGAAAAGAGACAACGAAGACCTAGGTAACGAGAATCCTTCTAAAAAGTCGGTCCCTGAATGGATTAAATATGATAGTGGCTCAGACGATAGTAGTGAAGTTGAAGATGTTAATATAGACGACAATGAAGGATATAAAACCCTATTAAATGCAGCCATTGATACAGCAAAAGATACTTGGGATAAGAAATATGACAAGTACGTGAAAGAGGGTATGAATAAGGAGGACGCCATTCAACGAAGCAATCAAAAAATAACCCATCTTGTTCAACGTCAGTTTTTTAAACGCTATACTGATTTGTTGAAACTGATCGTTCCCCTAGATGAAAGCAATGTGCATTCTGACATTTTACGACAAATTCAGGATGTTGTTGAAGACGATACAGATTATGAAACTCAAATTCGGCGTATTCTCATGAAAAATCGACATCAATTTAATGAATTATTTGATGATGATTACTTTGAAATGAATAGTGACAATGAGGATAACGACGATGAGGACGATGAAGAGGACACTGACGAAGATATACAAGAGGAAGAATAGTCTTTATAACATACTGTATAACACGGACTTCATTATATCCATTTAAATATTTGTGTTGACAACATGTCTGCATGGGAGAAATATCTAAAGGACATTTACTACATTCCGTCAAATTCTGCTAGCTTTTCGGGACCAGACAAACTTTATAATTATGTACAAAAAGAAGGGAAGTTCAAAATTAGTAAATATAAGATACGAAAATGGTTACAAAGCCAGGAACCATACAGTTTACAACGACCATTAAGAAGACCACAGAATAGAACGGAAATCGTAGTTGCCGGCATAGATGACCAGTGGTCTGCTGATCTCATGGATATGGTCAAGTTTTCAAAATACAATAAAGAATATAAATACGTATTGGTAGTCATTGATGTGTTTTCAAAGTATTTATGGCTACGTAAATTAAAAGATAAAAAAGGCGAATCTGTTGCAGCTGCATTTCAAGACATATTTAAAGCTGGAAGAGTTCCAAATAGAATAAGAACGGATATGGGACAGGAGTTCAAGGCAAAGAGAGTTCAGACAGTTTTTAAAAAGGAAAGGATTAATCATTTTTATGCATTTAATGAGGTTAAGGCATCAGTGTCCGAGCGTGTTATAAAAACTATAAAAACGAAAATATATCGATACTTTTCGTACAATCAGTCTTACAGATACATAGACAAGCTTCAAAGCTTTGCAGATGGATGCAACCATACTATTCATAGCACTATCGACATGGCACCCATTGAAGTAAAAAAAGAAAATGAAGAAACTGTTCGATTATCGACATATTTTTCAAGACCACATTCTGGAAAGTTAAAGAAACAGTACCGCTTTAGGTTTAAACTTGGAGATCGAGTAAGACTTACATATTTGAGAAATATTTTTTCTCGGGAATATGACGAAAAATGGACTGGTGAGGTATTTACGATATCCGGACGATTTTGGAGAAACATGACACCTTTATATCGCATCAAAGATTACCATGGAGAGGAAATAGCTGGATCCTACTACGAATCTGAACTTCAACGAATAAACACCAAAGATAATTCCTTGTGGAAAATTGAAAAAGTGATAAAAACCAAAGGAAGAGGATCATATAAACAATATTATATCAAATGGTTAAATTGGCCAAACAAGTTTAATTCCTGGGTGAAAGCCAGTGATGTTAAAGACTATTAAACTCATAAATGAGTTTCAAATGTACATTATTTTCTTTTACAATTGTATTACAAATAAAAAAAAAAATTAAATTAACAGTGTTTATTCTTTTTATACCAACCTTTTTTTTTTATCTAAAGTATATGCATTTTCTCGAATATATCAACTAGTGCACCATATTACAAAAAGTAAATATACATGAAAATCTAAACATTTCTGATGCCCTTTACAAGAAACGTTCGGTAGATTTCACGCTGACTCCTAAAAGGGCGGAGTCTCCCCTCGACAAACGAGACCATGCATGTGTAGGATCGGATGAATAGTCAGACTCATAGCAGTGGACAGATCATGTCAAGCACCAAACATCCGCTATTGGCTAAATGACCTCAACTAGAGCCTCATTCACATACATACACGTGGAAATCTACTCTAGATGTTCATGTATAATTACTTTGCAATTATGATTAGTTCTAATTAAAATACATTTGCTTCATTAATGTTAAAAGTTTAATCACCTTTTTCAAAGTACCCTTATATCAACAGAGATGGTGTGTTGATATCTATTCCAAGGCAATTGCGAGCAGAAAGGACCACACTCTCTGCCATTAGAACGGGGTTACTCTTTGAGATTTTGACTAACACTTTTCTAAGTAGAAAATTGGTTCACCTCCATATATCATAATATTTTATGGTATTTAAATACTTACAACTATTGTCAGTTTGAAATGACGTGGTGGCTCGTTGGAACTTTAACTCAAGAGGCATGAACTCACCTGAGTTTTGTCGTATTTATAGTGGTTCGTGGAACGGTTCATCATTAGGGATAACAACTCTGATGTTCATAAACTAAAAATCTATTTAAACACGGAATTATATAAAAAATCAGAAAATCAACATTCATTCAGTGCTTAATCCCCCTTTAAATGGACTGACCAATTTTCCCCAAAAATTTACCTGTTCAGTTAAATATGTTCGCCATGTTGATAAGTCGTGTTTTTTATTACTGCTACCAGAAAAGCACATTTAACATAATTACAATCTATGGATGTGCCCAAATTATCGGATAACGCTACATAATTGTTCATGGAACTGATTGGCGTTAATAATTATCGATTATTTCATATGGATTAATTTTAGTTTACAATTATTATCGTAACGGTGAGCTCTCCATAGACAAGAACAACAACAAACGGATCTGATTGTTTTGTTCAGGTCTACTGATTTCTTTAATACTTATTTATAAATGACAATACAAGTGGTATGTGTGTGTGTGTGTGTGTGGTTTTTTTGTAGTTTTTTTGTATTAATTTGTTTATTTAGTCTTATTAAAAACGATGAATCGAACTAAAATTAGGATTTCAGTGACCAGACATAATGTATATTTATGCACAGGTGTAAACCAGTATAATCCAGTTAAAGATAGCGTCAACATGGTCAAAATATAAAACATGACCCAGTTATCACTAAATTATATTCATTTGAAACAATTAACTGTCTCTTAAGAATTATATTCATTGCAGAAATTATATCACCCAAGTTTCACAAAAAAACAATATTTACTGTTAATAAAAATAACATTAATTTACACATACATTGTGTACATCTATTAATACTCATGTAAACATTGAATGTACGGTTCGTTAAGTAGGTCATTTAAAATTAGACTAAGTTGAGATAAATATTTTGATATACGTTGTTCTTTTAATTTTTTTCCCAATACACATGATAATATACTGTTTATTCTACTTCTGGTCATCTACAATTAACGTTTTGTCTGTGTTAATTGATTTGGTCAAACCTCTGTTAAAATTCTAACAGCCATACAAGAGGAGTAATTAATCAGACTCGGACCATTATCAAAACTAAATATTAATTAGGAATTAAAGTAATCTACTTAATTATATTATTAATTGTCAAAATTAATTATTAATTAAGAACACACAAAAATTTCTTAATTATGTTACTAATTAAAAAAAAATAAAAAATGACCACTTGACCCATATCGAAAATTCCCTCCTCCATCCAAGATGGCGGCTTTAACGTTATGCCTATGGGGGGAAAATCGACTAGTCTAACAGGGATGACTACTGACTACTACTACTACTACGTGCAAAGAGCGTGGCACTCTCTTTACACGAGGCATCGGATTTAACGTCCCCATTCTGACAAGACGTGGCTGCAAATTTGTACATCTCGCACTGCCAAACGGACGCCCTACTTTGGCGAGGGTTTTACTGCCGGTCGGAGGAAGACCAATGGTGACCATACTTCTATTCCCCAGTTACCCTTGGGGGTTTCATGAATTAAAGAAGGGAGGGGTTGGGTCACCATACCCCGACTTTAGACCTCAATTAAAAAAGTTCCGTAACTTTACCTACCTGGATCTTTGGGTCCAGGCAACCTTAGGCAATTGCCTATCATTTGTACCTAAGGTGGACAAAAGCTTTGCTGTAGGGACTTTTTATGAATAAAAGAAGGGAGGGGGTTGCGTCACCATACCCCAACTTTGGACCTCAATTAAAAAAGTTCCGTAACTTTACCCACCTGGGTCTTTGGGTCCAGGCAACCTTCGGCAATTGCCTATCAGTTGTACTTAGTGTGGACAAAAGCTTTGCCGTAGGGACCTTCTTTCGAATTAAAGTTGGGAGGGGTTAGGGTCGCCATACCCCAACTTTGGACTTCAGTTGTAGAAATTCTAGAACTTTACCCACCTGGGTTTTTGGGTCCAGGCAACCTTAGGCCATTGCCTATCATTTGCACCTAGTGCGGACAAAAGCTTTGCCGATTGGACTTTTTTTCCGAATTAAAGTTGGGAGGGGTTAGGGTCACCGTATCCCAACTTTGGACCTCAGTTGTAGAAATTCTAGAACTTTACCCACCTGGATCATTGGGTCCAGGCAATCTTAGACCATTTCCTATCATTTGCACTAGTGTGGACAAAAGCTTTGCCGTAGGGACCTTCTTTCGAATTAAAGTTGGGAGGGTTAGGGTCGCCATACCCCAATTTTGGACCTCAGTTGTAGAAATTCTATAACTTCATCCACCTGAATCATTGGGTCCAGGCAATCTTAGACCATTTCCTATCATTTGCACCTAGTGTGGACAAAAGCTTTGCCCTAGGGACTTTGTTACGAATTAAGTTGGGAGGGTTAGGGTCGCCATACCCCAACTTTGGACCTCAGTTGTAGAAATTCTATAACTTTACCCACCTGGGTCTTTGGGTTCAGGCAAGCTTAGGCCAATACGTATCACTTGCATCTAGTGTGGACAAAAGTTTTGCCGTAGGAACTTTTTATGAATTAAAGTTAGGAGGGGGTTGGGTCCAGATTTACATAATCTTGGATTCAAAAAAAATGTCGTTTAGATTAAACAAAAATCTTTATGTCAATTCGTTTCTCGTTCTATAAGTGTGTCACTCTTACACTAATCACTCTTCCTATCGAAAGATAATAATCAATTACCAGTGTGACGACATACTTTTGAATAATTAGAAAAATGTACTAGTTCTTTGACAAAAGAAGAAAACTGCGTATAACACTTATCAGCTTTTATTTCTACAGAAAATCTAACAAAAAATACTTGACGTTCCAAAATCAGTCGGGTTTTTTTTTCTTTTCTTTTCAAACTTATATATAATCTAGAAGATTTAATTGTATCGTTACACTAGTTTAGTGTGAACTGTTGTTATTAATTGTTTCATTAGTATAAAGACAACACACCCATCTCTATTCAGAGAACACGAAAAAGAGAAAGGATTAGCTAAAAGAAATTTTAGATGCCGGCTTAAAAAAGTTGTATTAAATACACGAATTGCTAATTAACTTTGTTTGTGTTAAAATGGAATTGCATTTCGTCTTTCATCTGGTAATGATTGTCATCAGATTTCAATGGACGTTTGGTGTTATTGCAAGTCTTCGGTTTTTAGGCATGATCAGGTTGGCGCGTTTTCTTATTGTTCGCTGGCTTATTGTTCGCTAGCTTGATGCATCTTATTGTTCGCTAGCTTGAGTCTGGTTGATCATGTGTAGTGGAGTGACAAATCAAGGAAATGTCGCTGATTTAAAGAGTTTAATGGGCCGAATTAAAGCCGAACATTCACATAAGGATAGAGTTTACATCATACTATCATTTAAGCACTGTGGTAGAGTTTTCCCACGGTGCAGGTTTTTGTAAAATCGTGATAGAGTGTGACTTTTGGATTTTTTTCTATTTCATTATGTAACCCAGGAAGAGTTATAAAAAATGCACGAATGATGATTTCAGTAATATTTTTTTTTATAAAATTAAAACCATTATGATTAAGCTTTTACTCAACCGCTCCAATTGATTTTCCCCCTTTGACTGTACATTTGTGTTATAACGTATGTAATTATACCCAACACTTGGGTTTAACGAGTCCATTTCATTTGTATTATTCGTTTGCCAATCGGGATTAATTGGACGTAAGAATAAACTCATTTACAATTAATCATTGAATTGCAGTAGGTGTCATTATATCTATTATTCATCAAGACCTTTCTTATATATAAATTTAATTATTTTTTTTTGGTAATATGACGACACTACGCATCGTCAAATTATCATTAATATACGTTGTTGAAATAGTTTTCGGACAGATACACCAGATTCGTCCACGAAATGGTTAACAGAGATATACTTACATTATACCTGTTTATTTTAGTACTTTATCGAAATGCATTCGGAGTGACATCAGCACCACTAGGAAATAGCGGCATGAAAGTTCTGGGTACGTTAATTTTAGTTACTTAGAGAAAGTGTTCATTTGAAGGGAACAATAATTTACCTTTGTTATTTCGTTCGATGTTTTTTTAAAGTTTTATGTGTCACGAGTTCGATAGTTTTTGAAATGTCCATTTCCTTAACATTGACTTGCAGTTTGAGGGTTTGTATGTTGAGCTCTACAAATCTTTATTTGGGGTGCAATGTTGTCTAATTGGTCGGTATTTTTGTATAAAATGTTTCCAAATGTCCTGATTTGCTGTAATCAGTCGTTCGAATTGATCCATGGTCTAATTTGAGAGTCATAACATTGTGCTTATATGTTAATATTTTCACAAATGTAGCAGTGTAATATTTCTCCTTTCTCTAATTCTAATTTTATGTTCCAAATATTCATGTTGGGACATGGCTAATTTTTCTGTGGAATCTGGTTTGCTTAGCATTTCGTCAAGTTTGCAATTAAGAGTCATGATAATCATCTTCCACACTTTTCCTTTGATTTGATATTCCTCAAATAATTGATTTGTTTTGTTGTTTGTAAATGTACGCACGCCTCACATTTTTTTTTTTCGGAAAAAATATTTCAAAGCAAAATATACGAAAGTTGGACAAAATACAGTTAAGCAGCAAGGAATTATTGACTACAAAATAAAATTGTCAGTATTGACTTTAAAAAACTTTAAGTCATTTTCATTAGGTGTTCTACAATCAGTTAATCAGCCATTTAAGTTCAGATTTAAGAAACGTTTTATTGAGTATTTTGGTGTGACCTGCTTTAACAAATCTGTTTCCATATTAAATGGGTATACTGGATCCGAAAACCAAAGTTGCCTGGTGATTAATAGCTTTTTCATAATCTATTTTGTATATTGTTTAAGATGTCGCAAACCGTTAAACAAAATTTCTTATTGCTTTATTATATATACAGGGGTATTTTGTTTCACTTTTTTATTTTCAATAGAAAAAAAATAAATAAGAACTTGACCTTCTCTCCAAATAAGCTCTTCATATTGAAATGTTGTACTCCAGACGCGTGTTTCGTCTCCAAAACACACCTTGTTAACTTTGCCTTCATTCTAGTCTAATGAAAATCACTTTACTAAAAGTTCTAATATATTTTTTGTGACTAGCACGTGAACAGAAAAAAATGTAACCAATCTGTTCTGGCTGTTTTTACAAAACACATTTGTTCTTATGTATCCAATAAACACTTAAATAAAGTTTGAGTTTTTCAGATATCAATAAAATTTTCAAACTTTCGTGGAATATTTCAAAACTTGGACAGAAGCTTCTTCGTGGTCAAAAGACACTATCGAGATCAAATTCATGAATATTGTGTTCTGATTTGTCCGTATTTTGCTGATAAATGGATTTTATGTTTTTGCAGTTAACATTTAAATACAGTCTAGGCTTTAAGTGAGTTTGTTTACATTAATTACATTGTCAAACCTACGAGACCCCCTTTAAAATCGACTTTTCAACGTATCTCTCCAAGATGCACAATTATGAAAAAAAAAAATATTACAAAAAATGTTTTAACAAAGTAAACCTCCAAGGTAAATTCAAAAAGGGGAAGTCAATAAAACCCGACAAAAACCAAAACCTCGATTATATCAATCAACGGAACGATTGGAAAACAACTGTCATACTCCCGGCATTTTCTGAAGAATATGGTGGGTCAAACCAGGGTTTATCGCTAGCTAAACATATCACTTGTATGACGTTTTTCATGTTATGTCATATACTTATGCCATTCCTTCCTGTGTTAACGTGTTTTTTTTTTAATGATAAACAATTTGTTTCAGCAATCCATAGTTTACAGAAAGTTTCAAAGAGAAACCCTAAGATATATCAGCAAATAGTAGACCAATTGCAATGTCCACAGAATGTTAACATTATGGATTGCTACACCACTTTAATGTCACCATGGATACGTTATATGCTATCTCACAGAAGACATTTATAAGATCAAGACATGATAGTGAGGATATTTATGCTTGATAGATGGAATTTAGAATGTGTATGCTTTTCCAAAAATGTGGATATTTTTACTGTACTACTTTTGAAGAGATTGACTTTGTTAACAACGGTTTGGACGATATACACTTTTATTAAACGTATACATTTTTAAAACGTACACAGCTCTTTAAATAATTATGAATACCTGCATGCAGTATCACATTCCTATAATAAACCATTTCCTGGAAGTTCGGTATTTTTGTTATTTTACTTTCTACTTTATCCACAGATCATAAAAGAGTTACAAAACTAGTTCTGCTCATCGTCCAGATATAAAGATAATCCTACACGATACGTAAATGACTGTTTCCTTGATATTGTCAACACATAACTCAGCTGAGGGCTAATCCAGAAAATTGGCAGAACGTAAAAGAGAGGCGAAAGATACCAAAGAAATATTCAGACTCATAAGTCGAAACAAAATGACAATGTAAAAAAGGAACACTTTGTCTGAATGAAAGAAGATCTTTTAAACTTTTATTTGAATCAAAGCCAATGGTTTTACGAAGCTTAATCAGCATCTACGGTTCTAACATTTTCAACGGTAAAATATCTAATCCAATGCAACTAACACACCCAAAGTCTTTACTTTGCATTCATCTGTTGTTCCTCTTTCGGTCTGCATGTCAAAGGAGTAGACAGTGACCTTGTTTCTTATATTGAAAACTTAATGTACACAGAAAATTCATACACAATTTTATCTGTCTTCCCACTGCTGGAACCATTCTGTTCAGCTTTTCATAAATTTGCAAAAAACGGCTAAATGACTTCAAAACCCTTGACCCCGGCCTATGACCGAATCATAATGTTTGAGCTGACGTTTGGAAAACCTGATAATCAGTTTTTATGCTTTCAAGATTTTGGCGTTTGGGCGTTCCTGGTGAAGTTATATGTACTGAACAGACTTGGGGTCAATTGCATTGGAATGTAATTAATTAAATTACACATTACATTGCAAAAATGATCAATTACACTAATTACACATTACACAGTTTTTGAAATGTAATTAATTAAATTACAATTACTTTACTAAAGTAATTAATTAAATTACACATTACATTTCATCATAACTTTTTTTAAACAATATATATCATGTATATATAGCATGTGTAAAATATTCATGTAAGCTTACAGCATAGTTTTAGCATTGCATTTGATTATCATTAGTATTTTTAATGTCTTCTATCAACACATCTTATGATCTAGCAATACCTGCCACATCAGCTCCTGTCGAAACAAAGTGTTCAGACAGGATCTGATGTGGCAGGTATTGCTAGATCATAAGATGTGTTGATAGAAGAGGGAATGTGTTCCTATTAACTTGCCAATACATTAAGGGGTATTTTGAAAACTCAGAAATGAAGCCATTTAATTAAACATAATATAAATAAATAAATTATAAATAAATTAAACTAGAGGCTCTCAAGAGCCTGTGTCGCTAACCTGCATTTACTGATGCTTTGGAAATCATGTAAAATAAGGTTAAATTCATAATTAATAGTATTAGATATTAGATATTATAATGATATCTAAGATAATAACAAAAAACTGCAAAATTTCTGTAAAATTAATAACTCAGGGGCAGCAACCCAACAACAGGTTGTTGGATTCGTCTGAAAATTTCAGGGCAGATAAATCTAAATCTGATGAACATTTTTGCCACCTGTCAGATTTGCTCTAAATGCTTTAGTTTCAGAGATATAAACCAAAAACTGCATCAAGTCGGCCATGATGGTTGGAAGGCGGGGTCATCGGACAAATTTTTTAAACTAGATACCCTAATAATGATTATGGCCAAGTATGGTTAAATTTGTCTCAGTAGTTTCAAAGAAGAAGATTTTTGTAAAAGATTACAAAAATTTACGAAAAATTGTTAAAAATGTCCTATAAAGGGCAATAACTCCTAAAGGGGTAGACTGACAATTTTGGTCATGACGACTTATTTGTAGATCTTACTTTGCTGAACATTATTGCTGTTTACAGTTTATCTCTATCTATAATAATATTCAAGAAAATAACCAAAAACTGCAAAATTTCCTTAAAATTACCAATTCAGGGGCAGCAACCCAACAACAGGTTGTCAGATTTGTCTGAAATTTTCAGGGCAGATAGATCTTGACCTGATAATCAGTTTTATCCTATGTCAGATTTACTCTAAATGCTTTGGTTTTAGAGATATAAGCCAAAATCTACATTTTACCCCTATGTTCTATTTTTAGCCATGGTGGCCATCTTGGTTGGTTGGCGGGGTCATCGGACACATTTTCTAAACTAGATACCCTAATGATGATTGTGGCCAAGTTTGATTAAATTTGGCCCAGTGGTTTCAGAGGAGAAGATTTTTGTAAAAAGCTAACGACGACGGACAACGACGACGACGGACGACGGACGCCAAGTGATGAGAAAAGCTCACTTGGCCCTTCGGGCCAGGTGAGCTAAAAATTGTCCATGTTTTTTACTTTACAATTATCATGATTATTTAAAAGTATGCTCGTCACTAGATTGAAAATAATTTTTTAGCACAAACAATGTATAATGTCTGATCAATATTAGCAATATTTTGCTAATTAGATAAAATACATGTAATAGTGGCATTGTCCCTAGGCTGTTTTATTACACATTTAGTCTGATTAATTGCCATTTGTTTTTACAGCTGATAATTTTAATTCTATAATCCTTTTGTGTATACTAATTTGACAAAATGATTGTGTGCAGTGATTTAAAATTCTAAATGAACTGTCTAAGAAAGATTTATACATTTGTTTAACAATACATACATGTATTTTTATCATATGAATATATACATGTTATCAATCTATTTAGATAAAGATCTTTCTTAAAAACTGAACAACACCAATATATGATTCTCACATTTTTTTTAAGTTATAAGACTATTTAGAAAACATTTCTGTATGTCAAATAAATAATATTTATATTAACACAATTTTTTATCATTAACATGATTAACACCATAAAAGTACATGTAATTGAAATGTAATTCAAAAGTAATTTAGCATAACATGCTCTTTTCATTGTAATTAATTAAATTACCATTACATGTAATTGAAAAAATGCTCAATTACACATTACATTCAATTACATGGAAAATTGTAATGCATTACACTTAATTACCATTACATTTTCAATTACCCCATCCCTGGTACTGAACATGATTTATAGCATAGTTTTCTTAAAGTGTCCGTTGATTAATTTTTAATTTATCAAATGTCATTTTCATTATCACCACATTCAACGAATGTCTATAACAAATTTCGAGAAGAGATAGATTTGACGATGAATGTCAATAAAGTTCTTCAAAAACATTCTCCAACTTTACGTACAATGATTAAAATTTACAGTAGTATCAATAAGGGGCAACAGTAGTTTACTGATGTTCAATTCTCATAAATCCACAAAGAAGATGAAAATCAAGGTAAAACGCATGAAACTGAATGAATCATAACAAGAGGCTCTCAACTGATTCTACTTTGGTTTTGGAAATCATGTAAAAAAAGATTAAAATCATAACAGATACCCTAATAATGATTGAGGTCAAATTTGGTTTAATATTGGCTATGTAATTTAATCAAAAGCAGAAGACTTTTGTAAAGTTTACAGACATTACCAATAAATTCATTGAAATTGTAGAAAATGATTTTATAAGGACAATAACTCCAACATCCAACAAGATGTCAATTAACAATTTTGCTCATGTTGACTTATGTGTAGATCTTCTTTCCTTGATATTTTTGCAGTTTACAGTATATCTCAATCTATAAAGATACATGTATTAAGGTTTTCATCAGCACCTCATAAGGAACATTTATGCCATGTTTGGTTTCATTCCATTCAGTGCTCCTCTAGAAGAAAACATTTGTATGTATTTCCCATAGGGTCTTATGTTAAACTTAGTCCCCTGCTGGCGGCCATCTTGGATGATGGTTCGGCTACAAAGTAACAACATTTGGTAAGCACCTCATAAGGAACATTCATGCCATGTTTGGTTTCATAATATTCAGTGGTTCTCTAGAAGAAAACAATATTATGTATTTCCTATAGGGTCCTATGTTAAACTTACTCCCCTGCTGGCAGCCACCTTGGATGACAAATCAGCTTCAAAGTAACAACACTTGGTCAACACATCAGAAGAAACATGCATACCATGTTTGGTTTCAATCCATTAAGCGGTTTTTCTAGAAGAAGACATTTTTATTTTCCATAAGGTCCTTTGTTTAACTAAGTCCCCCGTGGCAGCCATCTTGGTTGATGGATTTGCTACAAAGTAACAACACTTGGTCAGCACCTTATAAGGAACATTCATGCCATGTTTGGTTTCATTCCATTTAATGGTTCTTCAAAAGAAGATTTTATGTATTTCACATAGGGTCCTTTGATAAACTAAGTTCCTTGCTGGCAGCCATCTTCGATGATTGATTGGCTACAAAGTTACAACACATGGTCAGCACCTCATAAGGAACATTCATGCCATGTTTGGTTTCAATCCATTCAGTGGTTCTCTAAAGGAAGACATTTGTATGTATTGTCCATAGGTCATTTGTTAAACTAAGTTCCCCGCTGGCAGCCATCTTGGATGATTGATTGGCTACAAAGTAACAACAATTGGCCAGCACCTCATTAGGGACATTCATGCCATGTTTGGTTTCATTCCATTCAGTGGTTCTCTAAAAGAAAACATTTATATGTATTTCCTATAGGGTCCTATGTTAAACTAAGTCCCCGCTGGTGGCCATCTTTGATGATTGATCGCCTACAAATTTACAACACTTGGTCAGCACCTCATAAGGAACATTCATGCCATGTTTGGTTTCATTCCATTCAGTGGTTCTCTAGAAGTTCAAAATGTAAAAAGTTTACGACGACGATGAAAGACGACGGATGCCAAGTAATGAGAGAAAGGAGCGAGATTGGTTACGTTAAAAAAAGGGGCGACTCATGGTAGGAATGCATCTACCACTATGCGAATTCGAAATCAGTCAAAATGTTACAATCGGGAATTAGACATAATCGGCAAATTTACAGATCAGACGCATTTTCTATAAAAATCTAAGACCGCGAAACATATCGCTAGCGAGTTAAGATACAGACGTGTCGTATCGGCCAACCAATTCGTTATGGTGATCGTAAAACTTATGCAGTGTCGATTTCAGTCGTTGTTCCCCATACCTCT